TATACACCTGTTGGGAACAGGTGTGGCTGAAATAGCCAAATCCACATATTTGAAGGGGTGTCCACATACTTTTGTATATATAGCGTAGATGAAAACTCAGGTACACCAGCTTTCGCATCGCACAAGAAAAGTTTGGGAAGTACAGGTTTTACGAGCATGGAAAGGCCAGAGATAGCCAGACTAGTAAAATGGGCTGAGGAACAGAAGTTGGGTATTTGAGAAAGGCCATCAGTGCGTGTTCTGTAAACAATACAGCGGATGAAGGCGCGGCATGAGCGTGGGGAACGGATAGACGTGGTTATGGACAGAGAGGAAGAAAAAGAGCAGAGTGCAGAGGGAAGATGTGTGTTGAGGAAGAATGGCGCCAAGTACAAACCATCCTCTGCTGTCTCTGATGGCTCAGAAACTGAACCCGACGAGAGTGAGGATGAATTACCTGGCAGGTGTGGTGAAGACCGAGTACGAGCCTTGCACCGATGGTCATGCAAAGGATGATTCTGGCCCAGTGTGACCCATATGTAGTCTCAGGCTGGGCAGAAAATAATTTTGGTACTGTTAAATCAGTGAAGGTAATCTCTAAGTGGACTTGTGATGATTTTCTGTGTTTCTTCCACCGCTTTGTGTCACGTGTCTCGGGACAAGACCTGTGACTTGCTTTTCTCTCCAGAGCAGGGCACTTTTGAAAGGAGTGATTACTGGGGTGGCGTTAAGAGATGAGGTGGAGCAACTAAAATGGAAGATTCCCTGTGTCTGTAACGCCCGCCGTTTGGTGTGACGCAGACCTGGTGGCAAACATGGTGAAACTGAGAAGACACTGTCTGTCCTTTTGAGTTTTGAAGCAGTCTTTACCTAACAAAGTCAGAGTAGAACAGAAGGTGTGGTATGCTGAGGGAGTGAAGAGAGTTGAGGATGATGGGTCAAGGGTGAGAAGTAGTAGTGATATGAATTTGTGCTTCAGTAGGTTGGCTTCTTAGAATTCATTGCCATGGTTATCAAATGTACCACAGAAATAGAACATAAATAACTGAAAATAGTTGTTGTGGTCAGTGGCGATTTTAGCCTTGTCTGGCAGCGAAACAGTTCATTCAACCTCATTCAGCCTCATTCATTCAGCCTCAAAAGCATAGCTGATATGGCTGACTTGCTTAAACAAATGTGGTTTCTACTGACAATTGAGATGTACAAACTATGGCATAAGGGGACGACAAGCGGATGAGGCAATCCGTAATTTCGATTAAGACATTAATGAGCGAGTTAGAACAGAAGTAGTCAATTTCGCTATTTGTTCTGCACTTTTGAAATGTACAGCAACAGAATTCAGAACATGGGCCGTTCTTACAGTATTCTCCGTGTACACCAAGTCAGAACCGTAGGATAAAGGGGCATATAAGCAGATAATGAAAGCTCTTACAATATTCGATTATGACATTTCTCTAAAACAGGCTACAGGCTACATGTGCACCACCAAGACAGAACAGTAGGCTAAGTTATGAGGGGAAAAGGGACCAAATTATTAGGGTGAGGCACATGGGCTACTAACAGCTTACTACACAACATACACTTAGTATTTATTTTCTTAGCTACAGTATACATATCTCCCTGGCAAATTACATAATTTATGCAGCAGCATACAATAAATTTTTTGGACTCACCTTGTTGTGTTGTGCTCACCTGAACAGGAAGGTGGCGAGGCGGTCCTTGTGGGCAAATTTTGTCATCAAACCTTGTCATCAAAGTCTGGCATTCTCTGGATTTATGGTGCTTTCAAGACAACTGGGGAAGAAACAAGGTCGAATCATGACGTCAGTGATCTTCAGGTCGGAGCTCTAAAAAGAGGCCTGAGTTCCCGACTTGCAATTCCGAGTTGGATGACCGTTCAAAATCTATTTTCCCAGTCGGGGCTAGTTTTTTTCAGAGTTCCCAGTTGTCTTGAACTCACTGAAGTCTGAGATTTCCCAGTTCCGAGAGTCCAGTTGATTTGAACACGGCAGAAGTCATGCTGGATTGACAGCATGGCCAATGTTGAACGTTTATCCTTTTAAGCTTGGAAAAGAGACCCTTAAACCCAGACTTGGACCACACACCCACTCCACTGAATAGCAGGCTAGTGATTGCTTTGCAATGCTTGCAGTTAGCCACTGATTCCTTCCAAACCACTCATTGTTGAATTTGCAATTTCCAACTTGTTGTGTAATGTTTATGAGCATCGATATGTTTTATCTATAATTTCTCTTCATTCACAAGGATTGAAAAGGATTTGCCAGGAGATTGTCGACTTGATTCATGATGATGACTGCTAGCTTGCTAGCTAAGATTTTGGAAGTATGATGTTGACATGATCAGTCCAATCAAAGCTACGGTATATATAACGTGATTTGACGTCATTTTATCTGTGGCCAATGACCTTGAGCCTTCTTGAATGGGCACTTCTAATGTAACTCTACAGCAGCAACCCAAGGGGCTTGAATTTTCGAGCTTTCCCCGTAGATTTTGCGGTGACGTAGTGTCTCCATGAGTGACAGAACACTGAGCCAATCACGGTGCAACTAGAGAACATTACCAACACCTACACGTCATATTTTCGCTGGCTGCCCCACCACCACAGAAAGCACTGAGCTAGGCTGAAACACCTGCATTTTGGAGCTGCCTTACTCAAAAAAAGCAAAAAAGAGACCATGTTTGTATGCGGCTTTATTAACTCAATGTTTTTTTTAGATTGTTTGCAAAATGATATGTGACACATATTAATGCCGCTGAATGACGGGTTGCCACTGGTTCTGGAGGCTGCTGCAGAGAAGTACTTGGATGTAAAAAGAAACGTCCTCTCACTGTCAACTGCGTTTATTTTCAGCAAACGTAACGTGTAAATATTTGTATGAACATGACAAGATTCAACAACTAAGACATAAACTGAACAAGTTCCACAGACACGTGACTAACAGAAATTGAGTAATGTGTCCCTGAACAAAGGGGGGGGGGGGGTCAAAATCAAAAGTAACAGTCAGTATCTGGTGTGGCCACCAGCTGCATTAAGTACTGCAGTGCATCTCCTCCTCATGGACTGCACCAGATTGGCCAGTTATTGGTGTGAGATGTTACCCCACTCTTCCACCAAGGCACCTGCAAGATCCCTGACATTTCTGGGGGGAATGGCCCGAGCCCTCACCCTCCGATCCAACAGGTCCCAGACGTGCTCAATGGGATTGAGATCCGGGCTCTTCGCTGGCCATGGCAGAACACTGACATTACTGTCTTGCAGGAAATCACGCACAGAACGAGCAGTATGGCTGGTGGCATTGTCATGCTGGAGGGTCATGTCAGGATGAGCCTGCAGGAAGGGTACCACATGAGGGAGGAGGATGTCTTTCCTATAACGCACAGAGTTGAGATTGCCTGCAATGACAACAAGCTCACCGATGATGCGTTGACAAATGCCCAACATGACGGCCCTCCACCCCAAACGATCCGCTCCAGAGTACAGGCTCGTGTAAGCTCTCTTCGACGATAAACGCGAATCGACATAACCTGGTGAGACAAATGATGTCATGAAGAGCACTTTTGCATCGTAGTCGAAGGGGTTTGTGCCATAGCACGTGTGCGGTGTGTTGGTGATGGGGGTCCAGCCTTCAGCTATGCGGAAGTTGCCCTGATGGAGGGATTGTGCGTTCCTGGTGTAACTCGGGCAGTTGTTGTTGCCATCCTGTACCTGTCCCGCAGGTGTGATGTTCGGATGTACCGATCCTGTGCAGGTGTTGTTACACGTGGTCTGCCACTGCGAGGACGATCAGCTGTCTGTCCTGTCTCCCTGTAACGCTGTCTTAGGCGTCTCACAGTACAGACATTGCAATTTATTGCCCTGGCCACATCTGCAGTCCTCATGCCTCCTTGCAGCATGCCTAAGGCACGTTCATGCAGATGAGCAGGGACCCTGGGCATCTTTCTTTTGGTGTTTTTCAGAGTCAGTAGAAAGGCCTCTTTAGTGTCCTGAGTTTTCATAACTGTGACCTTAATTGCCTACTGTCTGTAAGATGTTAGTGTCTTAACGACCACAGGTGCATGTTCATTAATTGTTTATGGTTCATTGAACAAGCATGGGAAACAGTGTTTAAACCCTTTACAATGAAGATCTGTGAAGTTATTTGGAATTTTACGAATTATCTTTGAAAGACAGGGTCCTGAAAAAGGGACGTTTCTTTTTTTTGCTGAGTTTACTAGGTTTTACTGTGGAAGAGTTACAAGGTGTTTTGAATGAAAGAGTCCGGTCCTTGTGTAGGATCAGTTAGGGTCAATGTAGTGGAATGGGGTGGTGTTTTTAATTTGTATTATGTATTAAATATAGTGGTATTTAGGCATAGGGTTAGTTGATGGTGCAATTTTTGCCTTTCCCCCTTCCTTTTAAATTGTTGTATCACAAAATGTAATGTGATCGACCACACACAACCGCATAGTAGGTGGCGGCATGCGCAAACAAAATGTGCGAACGCCATGATACCAAAGAAGAAGAAGGTCCAGCAAAGATTCTGGATATACTGACAAGATGTCTCTCCACCCTAACATTGGGAGACGTTGTCCACAACGGGGCACAGAGGGTTGGCTCCCGCCTATCCTTTCTTAGGATTGGTGGATACATCTCATTATTGTAAACTATTTTTTGAATATTCGCGTCAACCGCCTGTATTCAATGGAGAGAGATCCTACGCTAATAGCCTCATGTCATGAATATGCATAGCCATCTCGAGACAACTCCGAAATAGTGTTTTTTCTCAGTTGCCGGGATGTCACGTGTCCTATTTATATCAGTACACTCGTAACAACTTAAGCATTACTAACTTCTATTCGATCAAATAAACCTCACGTAAATAAGACATACTTTTTTGTGTTGACCAAATTCGACACTCCACACAAAAACTCCTAGCTTGGTGGGTGAAACATCGACACCTGCGGAGGGAGACTGATTTTCTGCCGAGTTGGGCCTCTCTTCCTCTTCCTCTCTGCGTGGTGTCCACTCACGAAACTGTATCGTTTCCGGAGGGTTCATGCCTTCAGAAATGCTGGAATTTGATAGCTAACCACTGGTAAACAATAACAATCAACTTTCAAAGGAGGTTTCGTCATGCGGATTTGGTCAGTTTTGTTTACGGTCCATGCCTCTCGTGTGGACTTTTTTGCAATCTAGCTAGCCAGCAACTAACAAGTCAACAGACTGGTATCTTCCAGCTGATCAAAACAAGGTCAATTGACGATGCGGTGAGTCGAGAATAAACTATTTTACTAGCAGTTTATAAACATTTAGCTAAGCGACATTATGACAAATAGACAACGGTTATGGCTTTCTGTCATATTAGTCAATTAAGTAGACACGCGATAATAGTAGTGTTTACACCTTTACTACTTTTCCGCGTAATTCCACGCAATTTGGATGTTGTTAGAAGACCCCGCCCTCTCTCTGCAAGACGTGGAGAAAGTGCGTTTTCACAACTAGCCCACTTGAAGCCAGAACCAGTCTTATCCAATTATTTATATATATACACTAGAAGACTGAATGGGGGCGCTGTGTTGAAGCCAACCTGCGTGCCTCCATCTTGGCACTTCCTCGCCATTGTAAAACATATTTTGGAAGCTACAGAAATGCATTTATTAATGTCTACATTTGTTTTCGCCACGTTTATTCTATTACAGACACATTAATGCATAATTTTAAATTATATTATGTGAGCTAAACATAAATATTTAAAGAGATTACTAATGTTAATGTCCCCACTACAACAACAACAAAATACATAAATACACTGAACAAAAATATAAACGCAACATGTAAAGTGTTGGTTTCATAAGCTGAAATAAAATATCCCAGAAATACACAGGTGCACCTTGTGCTGGGGACAATCAAAGGCCACTAAAATGTGCAGTTTTGTCACACAACCCAATGCCACAGATGTCTCAAGTTTTGAGGGAGCATGCAATTGGCATGCTGACTGCAGGAATGTCCACCAGAGCTGTTGCCAGAGAATGTACTGTTAATTTCTCTACCATAAGCTGCCTCCAACGTTGTTTTAGAGAATTTGGCAGTACCTCCAACCGGATTCACAACCACAGACCATGTTTATGGCGAGCGGTTTGCTGATGTCAACGTTGTGAACAGACTGTCCCATGGTGGTGGTGGTGGTGGGGTTATGGTATGGGCAGGCATAAGCTACGGACAACGAACACAATTGCAAGGTATCTGTGACCAACAAATGCATATCTGTATTCCTAGTCATGTGAAATCTATAGATTAGGGCCTAATTAATTTATTTCAATTGATTGATTTCCTCATATGAACTGTAACTCAGTAAAATCTTTAAAATTGTTGCATGTTGCGTTTATATTTTTGTTCAGTATACATGTAATTTTGTCTTTGAAACATTTAATTGAAATACTGTAGAGTTCCATTCATTCCTATGGAGGACTGCTCCTTCTGGGAGCGCCAATATGGCCGACCGGTGGCTTCAAAGCCTCTCATTGGACAACACATAGAATCATCAATCCAGGGTTTATATCAGTGTTGTAGTACAACACATTGAGTGTCTCGGTCTTGTCTTGGTGTCAGATACATTTTTTCTCGGTCTTGGACAGTGAGGACTCGTAATTTCAGACCAGCTGAGTAAAAAGCCCATCATTATTAGCTTCCATTCATTCAGTCAGCGCATAAAAGCGCTTTGCCAGGCCAAATATATATACTCCTTTCTTGAAACAATATCTTGTCACCTATTGAAACCTGGGATTCCTACCTTACTTGTAACATTACTGTCCTTTACTTTCATTGAAAAATATCCTCAAAGTTTGTCTGAATTTCCTTGAGTGGGGTAAATTGTTGGAAAGTTGCATGCTTACTATTAGTAAGTGGAGACGGGGAAATTCTAATGGTCTTTATATCTATAGTAGACATGTTTGCGCAGTGGCGAACCTATTGGACACCTAGGCCTTCAGTGTGTGACAGGCTCGTGATGCTGAAAGGACAGCAACCATAATACCAGTGCACTCATGTAGGAGAGTGCAGTTTTGTAAAACACAAAGGGCCAGTGATGTAGTGGAGGCTTTATGCAGGTATACGCCCTATACCCACTGTCCCTTATGAAAAAAGATTGCAGTTAGAGTGCAGTATAACTGCAGTTATTCTGCAATTACTGCGTCCAGAATACCACAGTCGACTGCAGTTTCAAAACTGCAATCTTTTTTTGTAAGGGGTTTTCCGTGTGCATTGCCTATACTCACTTCTTAATCCCTTCTGTTGCGTATCAAAAGTAGTGTAGTGGAGGTATACAACTTATTAATTATGTAGTACAATAGAGAAATAATGCACAAAATAGCCTACATAATCGCAAAGCACGTGAAATATATTCACATATCCTAGTTTCTGCAGAATATAATCTGCAGGCAGCAAGAGCGTGCAGCTCTCAACTGGTTGTTGCATGGAGCAGCTCAAGAAAAATGACATCGGTAGCCGGTAGGTAGGAAAGAAATGTCAATTTATGATACCTACAAGTAAATTCTAACTAAGGCAACAAGGTATTGAAAAAGTTTCGTCCTTAGTCTTGGTTAGTAGGCTATTTGCGATGCGCTATTCAGTCATCATGCGCTGTTTGCATTAACATTTATAAAGGCTTTCCCTGAAAACCTTTCCAATTAGATTTTGACTGCCTACCTGACAATTATTTGCTGATTTGTATCAATGGGGATGGCATTTGTTTTGCTCAATTGAATTAAAGGGCAACTACACCTTCCATTTTTTGTATTTTTCACAGACCTCAAAAATGGTCTCCTGATGTGGTTTAAGCATTGTTGTGGACTTAGAACATCACATTTGTGTCGTTTTTATTTTATTTTAAAAAAGTGTGATTTTGAGTGAAAATCTGAAAAATCTAGTGGGGCAATTCCTTCACACAGGACCCACTTCTCCAGGCACCACTACACCACTGCATAGGGCCGATGGAAAGACAGCAGTCCATGAACTCTTGACATAATAAGCCAGTAGGTCCCAATCATAAGAATACAAAAACACAACCATTAGGCTAAGCATTTTTTACAACTATTACTTACCATTGCAAAAAAACATTTAACCTTTAGCACACAAAGTAACCGGTGATCTAAAGTTTAAATGCAACAATGTTTCACACACAAGTTATTTTCAAAGAGATGGCTAACATCAGCAAGCGCGCTGCAATAAAAAACACAGTTCCACTCACCAGATGATGATCATTTGAAACTTAACTTCATGTTGAAAGTTATTCTTTTAAAGGGAGAAGCTACAAATTAGCAACAACATCTGGCCATTATTATGAGCCGTTCTCCCCTCAGCAGCCTTCACTGGTTTATATAGATACTTGGTGCTACCACAGGTTTTCTACAATGGTAGAGTTTGTTTTGCAGGCCCTGCCCAGGTGGGCGGAGTTGCACATTTTGGACCATTCCATTGGCCTTTAAGTGAAATCTCCACCCACCCAGGTAATCGGGCCATGCAAAACGAACTGAACTCCAACATTGACAGCAGATTGTGGTTATGAAAGAAGCTTACAGTGGGGAAAAAAAGTATTTAGTCAGCCACCAATTGTGCAAGTTCTCCCACTTAAAAAGATGAGAGAGGCCTGTAATTTTCATCATAGGTACACGTCAACGATGACAGACAAATTGAGAATTTTTTTTCCAGAAAATCACATTGTAGGATTTTTAATGAATTTATTTGCAAATTATGGTGGAAAATAAGTATTTGGTCACCTACAAACAAGCAAGATTCCTGGCTCTCACAGACCTGTAACTTCTTCTTTAAGAGGCTCCTCTGTCCTCCACTCATTACCTGTATTAATGACACCTGTTTGAACTTCTTATCAGTATAAAAGACACCTGTCCACAACCTCAAACAGTCACACTCCAAACTCCACCATGGCCAAGACCAAAGAGCTGTCAAAGGACACCAGAAACAAAATTGTAGACCTGCACCAGGCTGGGAATACTGAATCTGCAATAGGTAAGCAGCTTGGTTTGAAGAAATCAACTGTGGGAGCAATTATTAGGAAATGGAAGACATACAAGACCACTGATAATCTCCCTCGATCTGGGGCTCCACGCAAGATCTCACCCCGTGGGGTCAAAATGATCACAAGAACGGTGAGCAAAAATCCCAGAACCACACGGGGGGACCTAGTGAATGACCTGCAGAGAGCTGGGACCAAAGTAACAAAGCCTACCATCAGTAACACACTACGCCGCCAGGGACTCAAATCCTGCAGTGCCAGACGTGTCCCCCTGCTTAAGCCAGTACATGTCCAGGCCCGTCTGAAGTTTGCTAGAGTGCATTTGGATGATCCAGAAGAGGGTTGGGAGAATGTCATATGGTCAGATGAAACCAAAATAGAACTTTTTGGTAAAAACTCAACTCGTCGTGTTTGGAGGACAAAGAATGCTGAGTTGCATCCAAAGAACACCATACCTACTGTGAAGCATGGGGGTGGAAACATCATGCTTTGGGGCTGTTTTTCTGCAAAGGGACCAGGACGACTGATCCGTGTAAAGGAAAGAATGAATGGGGCCATGTATCGTGAGATTTTGAGTGAAACCTCCGTCCATCAGCAAGGGCATTGAAGATGAAACGTGGCTGGGTCTTTCAGCATGACAATGATCCCAAACACACCGCCCGGGCAACGAAGGAGTGGCTTCGTAAGAAGCATTTCAAGGTCCTGGAGTGGCCTAGCCAGTCTCCAGATCTCAACCCCATAGAAAATCTTTGGAAGAAGGTTAAAAGTCCGTGTTGCCCAGCGACAGCCCCAAAACATCACTGCTCTAGAGGAGATCTGCATGGAGGAATGGGCCAAAATACCAGCAACAGTGTGTGAAAACCTTGTGAAGACTTACAGAAAACGTTTGACCTGTGTCATTGCCAACAAAGGGTATATAACAAAGTATTGAGAAACTTTTGTTATTGACCAAATACTTATTTTCCACCATAATTTGCAAATAAATTCATAAAAAATCCTACAATGTGATTTTCTGGATTTTTTTTCCTCATTTTGTCTGTCATAGTTGACGTGTACCTATGATGAAAATTACAGGCCTCTCTCATCTTTTTAAGTGGGAGAACTTGCACAATTGGTGGCTGACTAAATACTTTTTGCCCCCACTGTATGTCATGTGTTCTAATACCATTTGTTTTGTCCTAGTGGTGATGGCCTGGGAGATGGACAGCTCACATGGACCAGGGTCACCCCAAAGAGTTCTGCCCAAAAATGAACATTCCGAGGTGGAACTGGTCTCCAGAGGTCGGGAGTCCCTCCCTACTTCATGTGTCAAACAGGAGCGGACAGAAATATTTGTTACGAACCCTGAGCCTCAGAGGCCACCGCACATCAAAGAGGAGGAGTATGAGACCACAGTCACGCCCATTTTACTACCTACCAAACAGGAGAGCGAAGACAAGGAGATTCCTGACTCTAAACCAATGAAACTTGAGCTTCATGATCCATCCAGCCAATCATGCACAGACCAAGAGGAGGAGAAAGCAGAGCTGAAGAAGTCTGGAGGAGTGTCACATCCAAAGTATTCCGGTCTCCCTAAGCTTCAGGCCCCCTCTCAGCCCTCGGCAGCTGCAGGCTCCAGTCCTGTGTGTAGGGAGGAAGGTGAGACAGAACCAGAGATACAGGAGGACCAGGGCCCTGGAGACTGGCTAGCCCCCATGGAGGACGACGAGGCCCTGGGTGAGTCCCAGCGTCGACTGGGATTTGAGTCCGCCAGCCACTCCCTTTCTGCCATGCTGGGCTCCGACTCTGAGTCAGACAACAAGGAGGGGGAAGAGGACCCCACCTGGGCCCCTGCCGACCCCCAGACCCTCCAGGACGACCCAGACGCCGACATCCCCGCTCTTCGAGAGGCGTCCCCACTGCGGCACAGGAAAAGAACATCATCGTCACAAGGTCGAGGCAAAAGAGGTAGAGGTGGTGTCTCCTCGTCTCTGGAACCCAAAAAGAAGCCCAAAAACTTTTCCTGCCAGGAGTGCGGGAAGGCCTTCATATCCCGCCGTGACCGGGAGAGACACATTCGCACTCATAGCGGGGAGAAGCCGTTCCCCTGCCCCAGATGCGACAAACGCTTCAACGACAGTGGGAACATGCGTAAACACATGCTGATCCACTCGGGGGAAAGGCCCCACCTCTGTCCAGACTGCGGCAGGGGGTTCTCAGAGAGGGGGAATCTCAGCAGGCACAGGGCCCACATCCACGGCAGTATGCCCAAGTCCGAATGTGAAGACTGTGGGAAGACCTACATAGAGAAAGGAGGTCTGGACCGCCACATCAGATCTGGAGCCTGCTCTGCAACAAAAAAAGCATGAAATATATAAATGAAAAATGTTCTAGGGGCCTACAATTACGGCCCAGTTTCACCAGGCACTACCTCCAGCGATCAAACTATCAAAGATAGATGGCGACTTAACGTCCGGTGACTAGAGAGCTCGGTGATTCCTTACTGAAGGTATTTCTCGCAGCATTAGGGGGTGGGAGAATTGAGGGATGGGAAATTTCATGAATCGAGAGAAATAATGACATTGATTATGAAAAACAGTTCATATGAACCGAGAAAATGTGTAGAGAAATCGATATGATAGATTATCTAGTCTGTATTTGTTTTCTACTTCCTATCAATCAATACTTAAAAAAAAATATATATTTTAAGCCATTTTATTTTCTCAAGACTCAGTAAAATGGCGAATGGAAATGGATAACTGAATGTCATTTAATGTTTGTCCTCCCGAAGAGAGCGTTTTCTCCGTGAGTGCCTTTATGAGTGCTTTGTGAATATGATGATCTGTACTTCACTGTTAACGTTAACAATCATGGATCAAGCACTGTGTATTTGTGTGTTTCTTAAGTCTAAGGCCTGGATTCAATGCAAGGCGCATTATAGCGCAGTGCACTATAAGCGACTTTTAAGGGCCGACATGCACAGCGTTTTTCATAAGTGCCTTTAAAAGGCACATCGTCGGCTGCTGTCTAGTGCGCTGCGCTATAACACCCCTTGCATTGAATCCTGGCCTAAATGTTGTTTCCCATGGCCACAAGGGGTTTAGGGTGAAGGTAACTTGCCTATACACTCCTGGAACCAGGTACACACTGAAAGAGAATAAAGGTTTTTATGAGTTATGGATCTAGACAACCCCAAGTGAGGAGCGAGGTACCAGAGAAAAGTTGAATGAATCACTAGCCAGTGCATTAGTTTCAGCCAAACACGAGATACTTTATTTGAATCTGCCATGAAACAGCCACGTAAAGGGTCCCACATTGTCTAGAAGTACATCGGTAGGAAGCTGGGTCGTATATTAATTAGTGCATACCGTAGTAAAACAAACAAAACAAAAAGAGTTCAATATTGGTCTCTCCGTTTTGTCCTCTGTTTGCTACCGATTCTTTCTTGGTGAATACAACCCTGAGTTGTCAAACGTATCCAACCGATCATACCCATCCAAACACGAAAACACACAGAAGATACGACCTAAAAAGCAGTCAGTCCTTACTCAGGGAGTCTGTACAATAACATATGTAGGATCTTAATTTGAGCCAGTTTGCTACAGCAGGAAAATAATTCAGCAGCAACAGGAAATGTGAATTATTATGTGGATTATAATTAATGGACAGTTTTTGTAGGGGCGGACACATTTTTCATTAAGGCAAATCAAGTCTGACATTTCAAAGTGAAAATTACAAACTTTAGCCTTTTTACTTTAGAAGCCTTTTTATTTCCTTAAATACACTACAAGTTTGGTTGCTGCTATGCAGGAAAATTCTCAGCAACAAAAGTGATCAAATTATGGTCCTACGTCTATACAACTGGTTTAGGAGCTGTAGTCAGAAGTCTCACTACAGCTACAGAATATCTTCCTCTCTTCACACCTGCCCCTCTCCCTCTCTTCACCACCTGCCTCTCTTCCTCTCTTCCCACCTGCCCCTCGCCCTCTCTTCCCACCTGCCCCTCTCCCTCTCTTCCCACCTGCCTCTCTTCCTCTCTTCCCACCTGCCCTCGCCCTCTCTTCCCACCTGCCCCTCTCCCTCCTTCCTTCCACCCTGCCTCTCTTCCTCTCTTCCCACCGGCCTCTCTTCCTCTCTTCCCACCTGCCCCTCTCCCTCTCTTCCCACCTGCCTCTCTTCCTCTCTTCCCACCGGCCCCTCTTCCTCTCTTCCCACCCTTCCTCTCTCCTCTCTTCCCACCTGCCTCTCTTCCTCTCTCCCTCTCTTCCCCACCTGCCCCTCTTCCTCTCTTCCCACCTGCCCCTCTCCTCCTCTCCTTCCCACCTGCCTCTCATCCTCTCTTCCCACCTGCCCCTCTTCCTCTCTTCCCACCTGCCCCTCTTCCTCTCTTCCTCCTCTCTCTCTCTCTTCCCACCTTCCCCTGCTCCCTCTCTTCCCCACCTTGCCCCTCTTCCCTCTCTTCCCCACCTGCCTCTCTTTTCCCTCTCCTCTCTCTTCCCCACCTGCCCCTCTTCCTCTCTTCCCCCTTCCCCTCTTCCTCTCTTCCCACCTCCCCTCTTCCTCTCTTCCCACCTTGCCCCTCTCCCTCTCTTCCCACCGCTCCCTCCTCTCTTCCCCGCCTTCGTTCCCTCTCTTCCCACCCTGTCCTCTCTTCCTCTCTTCCCACTGCCTGCTCTTCCTCCTTCCCAAACCATTCCTCTCTTCCCTCTCTTCCCACCTGCCCTCTCCCACATGCCTCTTCTTCCTCTCTTCCCACCTTGCCCTCTCTTCCTCTCTTCCCCACCTGCCTCTCTTCCTCTCTTCCCACCTGCCTATTCCTCTCTCCAACCTGCCTCTTTCCTCTCTCCCACCTGCCCCTTTTCCTCTACCCCTCTCCCTGATCCTGCCTCTAGTCCTGCCTCAAGTCTACTAGAGGCTCTGCTGTTGGCTGTGGTCTTTCCTGGAGCCGCAGGCTCATTCTCTGATTGGCTGTGCTCAGGTCAGGACCGGGAACTTTGATAAAGGACTAGCGGTTGGATTGGGTGGTAGAATTAGGAGTAGTTTCAGTCACTGGCAGCCCTGCTGTCTAGGACTGAGATGACCCTTGACCTTGCCCTAGCAGTAAGGTAATGTTGTGCAGGTGGTTCTGGGGTTTTGACTGACGGCTTGTTCTTGTTCTCAGATTTGCGAAGCCTCCTGAGTATGGGTGGGGTAGCTTTTTGTCTAGGTGTGGTGGCTTGTGTAGTAGAAATATTAGTTCAATAATATCTCTCAGATACCAGAGCTTGTGATTTCAGTATAGACTTTATTACAAAGTAACAAGCTGAGCTGGTCCATGGAGCAACTGCCCATCCTGACTGGGAGCTCTCCTTTTATACAGTTTCATTCTTACACAACATACATAGTCACTCCTCTTTATGTAAATGATTAACGTCTTTTAGTTCCACGCCTCTGTTTGCTTCCAATGTCCAAGTGTTATCTCTTTAGGCGGGGTTTCCCCTCCCCTTTGACTCTGAACACAGTTATATTGGTGGCGTGACCAGGATACTTTCCCCCAAAATAATATACATACATACGTTAAAAGATAATTACATATTGTGTTGATTATAGTTACTATCCAGGCATGCATCTGGATTACAAAGTGTCAATCATGCTTATTCTGTTATGTACTGAAAAATTACCCATTCTTGTGGTGCGACGTGGAGGTAGGTGTGTTTGGTGTAACTGGCATCAGTAGTTTGAGGGGCCCTGCTGGTGTGGCTGTGGTCTGGCTCGTTGTGGGGGCGGGGGATACGGCAGTGGCAGGTGACTGGACAGGAAGGGTGTCAGGTTGTCGTGTGAGCAAAATCATGAGGGGTCCCTCCCCCACGTTTTTATTTGAACCCCTGATACAAAACCGGACCAAGTGCTGCCTGCTGTGTTGGGGGTTCCCCTTGTTTGGGTAGGGCAGGTGAAGTGGACAGGTCTCTCTCTCCCCCCTCTGGTCGTGGTAGAATCTTTGGGTACCTGCGGCCCTGAATCAGTACCTCAGCCTGCTACGTCTGTAGGGGGTCAGGGTGAGAGGTGCGGTTGTGTGCCTCTAGGAGGGCCAGGTTAGGGAAGTCTGTCTTGCAGGACTTGCACCTGTATGGCTGCTCACTCTGGTGTAACTTCCTCTTGTGGATCCGCAGACCAGTGGGCCGAGAGAACTTACGCTGGCACAGCTCACACTCATATGATGATCTCCAGTGTGGGTGAGCTTGTGGGATGCCAGGTAATGCGTCCGCTTGAAACTCAAAGTGATGAGGTCACATGGGTACGGGTGCTCGTCGTTGTGTGTTCGGCAGTGCAGCATGACCTCATAGTCCGTCTTGAAGCTCTTCCTGCAGTCAGGGCAGGGGTGTGTGCGCTCCAGCCGGTGACGGAGCACGTGCACGTTAATCTCGTTGGGCTTGCGGAAGGTCATGATACAGAGGCTGCAGCGGTGGGGCCGCACCTCGGAGTGGGTGACCAGGTGGCGTCTCAGGTGCTTGGCGCAGCGGAACCCCTTGGAGCAGTGTGGGCAGAGGAATGGCCAGTCCACCTGGTGCGTCATCTGGTAGCCGCCCAGCTCCTCTACGTGGAGAAACCGTTTGTGGCAGATAGAACACTCGAAGGCTCGCTTCCCGGTGTGTATGCTCTCATGGACGGTCAGCTGCTCCGGAATGGAAAAAGTCTTACCGCAGTCAGTACACATGAACAGTTTAGGCATGAGTGGGGCTGGGGTGCGTTCTTGCCTCTCTCCTTGGATGCGCAGGTGGCTCTTGAGCCCATTGGTGGGGTAGAAGCGATTGGGGCAGTGAGGGGGGCCGTGGGGCTTGACGGCGCTGTGTTGACGGCGGCACTTGCTGAGAGAATAAGGGCGTGTGAAGCGCTGGTCACACACATCGCAGGCTTTGGCCCCACTATGAGTCAGCAGGTGGGAGGCCAGACCTTTCCGTTTCCAGAAGCCCCGGCCACCGTGAGGGCAGGCATGACCCTGCAACCATTCAACTTCCTCCCCTGGCCCCAGTCTGTGTCTTCTAAGGACCCACTCCTTACTGAAGTTCTTGCCGCACTGTGAACAATTATGGGAATAGGTTGTCCCTTCTGCCTGGGTCTCCAGGCCCTCCTCCCCCAGCTCCTCCTGATCATCACCCAGCCCCAGTGAAAGTAAACAGAAAAACATGACGCTTTAGAGAAATTCAATGACAAATGTACCATGCGTAGCATCACCTGGACCATGGCCTGTATGTGGTACCGCAGCTGCACTTTATGGTTATTGAGCTGGTTTGTGAATGAGCCGAGACGGTTCTCCGGTTCATTCTCCCCGCAGGTCTCTCGGTTTGCCCGTCTCTCCTCCAGTCGCCGCGTCTCCTTCTCGTCACTCTCTCAGACAAATTGGGCCACACTGTCCTTCAACCACGACAGGATTTCGCCTGTGACATGTTCCAGATTGGTGTCTATGCAATCTTTCAGTTGGTTTTCAAAATCTCGCATGTTATCGAGGCACGATTGTGGTATGACGGCAGCTTTGACAGTTGTGCTTCCAGTGTCTTTGATGGCATCATTGCGGGTACAATTAGGTAATGTATGCTTTAGCAATAAAGTTCTCATCCATCAGTCGTTTAGAGGCAGAGTCCATGAAGCAGTTGAGCTGTATTTGAAAAGACAAAAGATGTTACGTCTATTTGCATTACGTGGACTCAAACTTCTGCTTCGTCTTCTTCTTCTTTGGAGTTTAACGGCAGTTGGCATCCAACATGTTGGACTATAATATAAATCCATTATGCTTTGTGATACGGAAAGGGGAAAAATAAATAAACTAACCTAAAACAAATTTAAATTTAAATTTAAATTTATTTAAAAAACACCCTTCCAATTAACCCTACACTCATTAAAAACCCACTACCCCATTCCACTACTTTGACCCTATCTGCTCCTGAACCATGCCAACGGCCTGGGAGGACGGGACACCACCACTCAACACACCCTGTAACTCTTCTGAAGTCAAATCTCGTATACCCAAATACGTCTCTGCAGCTGCCACCACAACATCTATTTTCTGTGATTTACATTCCATTTCTGCGGTACAGTTGATAACCTATGAATACTAAGAAGCCAACCATACTGAAGCATATATCACTTGTTGGCCTATCCCTCTGTGCTGGCACAGATCTACTACTCACAGGGATCCTCTCAGAATCCCTGACCCTTGACCCATCCTCTACTTTCTTCACTGCCTCAGCATATGACACCTTCTGCACTACTCTGACTCTAGCCACCTCAACCTGCTTCTCTCGCACCGGACACTTCCGATCCCCAGCAACGTGTGCACCCCTATAGTTGACACACACAGGACTGACAGTGACTCCTCTGTTTCACCACGCTCACCACCGGGTCTGCGTAGCACCAAACGGCGGGCATCACAAACACCAGGAATTTCCACACTTAATGCTACCCCAGAAATCACTCCTTTCAATGGTGCCCTGTTCCTAAGAGCAAAGCAGGAAACAGATCTTGACTCAAGTTGTGTGACACAGAGCGCCCTCTCCCTCTGGTAAGAAGAAACACAAACAAATATCACAAGTCCACTACAGGTTACCTTCACTGATTCAACTGCACCCAACTCCTTTCCCACCCACCCTGAAACCACAAACAGATCTGCCAAAAGACAAGGATCCACCTCACTTAACTCACCCTCATTCACTTCCATTTCACCTCCAGAACTCGGTCTGTCACACTGCTCACTCTGTTTGCACTTGACACCACTCTTCCTCGACACCCCATCTCCATTTTTATCGCCATCTTCCTCAAATTCAAATCCAACCTCTGCTTTCCTCATTCTCTTCTTCCTCTTTTTTCCCCTCCATTCCTCCACATAAATCTACCTCTGTGTCCCTGTCCCAACATTCCTCTTCTCCCAACTTTGCGGCCCGGTGGCATCCCAACGTAACTCCATATCATAATCATACTGCTCACCTCAGGAAACATGTCTTCTCCGGGCGCCAACGTTTTGAGAGCATGAGCAGTGGCCACACACAGAAAAACGACCCCCGAACTCAACTCTGTTCTACTCCCGTTGTGGCGGAAAACCTTCAGCTCTCTCTTGGTTCTATGCAATTTCGCTTCAGCTCATGTCCATGCACCATATGAACTACGACCCTTTCTCTGATTAATTTCTGTTACACCCAGCAGCTCAAGGTGATCAGCCCGGACTCAAACTTGCCACAGTGCTGCTCATAAACCTAGTGTCTTCGCCTATGTACAGCAGAGGAGGCTGGTGGGAGGAGCTATAGGAGGACGGGCTTATTGTGTAATGGCTGGAATATAATTAATGGAACTATCAAACATATGGAAACCACGTGTTTGACTTGGTTCCATTTATTCCATTCCAGCCATTACAATGAGCCCGTCCTCCTATAGCTCTTCCCACCAGCCTCCTCTGATGTACAGGTATGCTTTGAAGAAATACATCGTTTCAGGGATATTGCTTTCAAAACTTGGCTGTTGTGGTTTTAGGCTTGATAATAATAGAATAGCCACTACTGCACATCCACTGGGCCACTGAAGTCCAAAATTGATTTATTTCCTTGACCAGATAGGCTAAATGCATAGTTTTTTCCCGCCGGCCCTGCATATATTGTCATGTTTAGAAGTTCATAGAATTGCTTAGTTGGTTGAAACTAATCTTTTCCAGCCAACCGTGAGCTCATTGGCCTTGAACAGAAGAGGTACCATACTGTGTTTAGAGAATGTGAATATATCATAGACATGATCATTATCCCTCTTTAGTTTTATGTTGCATTCAAATGTGTCTCATGTTATTATCAAATGATCATCAATGAATTAATTAATCAAAAACTGTCTTATAAATGATTACATTTAAGATAACATATAAACGGCAATAGAAACACAGATTACTTTTTATTTGAAAATAACGTCACATTTTACAAACAAGGTTAAACCTTTGAACACAGAATAAAAACATTGACTTCAACAACCAAAAAAGACACTTTAAAAAGATAAGATATAATCATGACAGCCATGCATTTGGATTTTGATATGTTACAACCAATCAATGTTCAATTTAACTGTCACAGCTTGAGTTCTAAGATTTGTAGAACTACCTTAAGAGTTCACTCAATTTAAGTGCTGCTAAACAAAAAATTACAAACCGAGGTCCAGTCAGTAGAACAATAATGTTCACTACAAATGTAGTGGTCCCATTTCTAGTTGTTCACTACAAATATAGTGGTCCCTTTTCCAGTTGTTCACTGCAAATGTAGTGGTCCCTTTTCCAGTTGTTACACAACAACGCCATCTGGTTATCTCAGCGTGACATCATTCGAACAAATTCTGCGAAAACAGGGAGGGATAATGACAGAAAGAGAGTTAAATGAAAAGGAGACATGATTATCCCATACACAGACCAACAAAAAACCCAAGCCACTGCTTCTAACAAATATAAATCAGTACTGAAGCTGAGCATGGGTGCACACACAAACACGCACCCAAACACACACACACACAAACACACACCTCTCTCACCCTCAAAGTCGACCAGTCCGTCCTGATTGAGGTCCACGTCTCGGAGGATCTCGTCGATCTCTCTGTTGGTCAGCTGTTCTCCCATGAGCTTCTTCATGGCCTCCCTCAGCTCCATTATACTGATCTGACCATCACTGTTAGCATCAAACTGAGAGAGGGAAAGAGAGAGAAAGACACAAAGAGAGAGAAAGAGTGAAAGGAGGCTATAGTGACAGTTACTCACATTGAGAAAGACAGCAACCATCTCTGTCAGCTTTGAGCCCACACAATCAGAGAGAGAGAGAGAGAGAGAGAGAGAGAGAGAGAGAGAGAGAGAGAGAGAGAGAGAGAGAGAGAGGAGAGAGAGAGACAGAGACAGAGACAGAGACAGAGACAGAGACAGAGAGAGACAGAGAGAGAGAGAGACCTCCTTGAATGCATCTCTCAGTTCTTTCACTCCGATCATGTCTGCTGTCTCTGCCAGCATCTTTGGGCCCATCAGCTCCACAAAGTCCTCAAAGTCTAGTTTGCCGCCACCTACAGACCAGATAAAAACATTACTACAATTACTCATAGTTACAATATGTCTTACATTGCCTAAATATTCCTTGATTTTGTCTTTCCTTGGTTCATAATTCGTTGTAATAATCAACCTAAATTCTGCCATAGCACTCTAAAGTTTCAGATATTCTATGAATCTGTGGTGTTTCCGCTGTCTCATGTTGATGATGCCATCAGACTCACAGATGGACTGGCCCAGCTCTATGAGCTCCATCTCTGTGGGCATGTAGCCCATGGTCCTCATGCACTCTCCCAGGTCCTTATAGCTGATGTAGCCATTCTTTTTCTTATCAAACTCCACAAATGCCTCGCGAAGCTCTGCACACACACAGGCACGCACGTACGTGCGCACACACACACAAACACAAGCATACAAGTACACACACAGGGTAAGAATTAGAGAATCTATATTGTAAAACATGTCATGGTATGATTCTGATTGTGTGAGATAGAAGGGGATAATCTACCTTCAATCTCCTCTGGTCGTAGGTCCCTGTCCTGTTGGAGGTAGCAGAAGGACATCATAAGCAGACTGGTAGTTACACATGAACACACACACACACACACACACACACACACACACACTACATCACAAACACACAATCTGTTTACACACGTACCCACAATAAGACAAACAACATACGTGCATGCTTTTATGTTGATACAACAACTGCAGTCAAACACCCAGATGCAAATCTAAAGATCAACAAACACACAATGTTCAACCACTGATATTATGAAATGCACAATGAGCCTCAATCACAAAGACCATGGGAACCAATCAGCCAAAGATAGAAAGAGGAGGAGAGAAAAGAAGAGAGAGAAAGAGAGAGAGAAAGTCTGTCATTTGTCTTTCCTTGATAAAATATACAACTCTTTGCTATGGTATGATTCATATATAAAGGCAGAGGCGGTACATGTCATTTGCAGTGTGCCAGTAGACACACATTATTAGAAAGAGTAAACCAGAATGCTCTGCAAAGTTAGACTAAACAGTATATCTATCTAGTACATTGCGTCTAAAGATGGAATATATCTGAACCTAAATCTATACAGATTACATTGTATGAGCCATTTTTGTATTATGGACCCAGTAAAACACTTTCACAAAACATCAATCACAGTAGTAACCAGATTATTGGGGGATGGGGGGGACGGTGGGGGTTGCCCCCCCCCAACAGCTGGAGATTAGGAGATTTGGGTGGTTTAGTATAAGTGAGACCCTTGGACATATAATGTGCATTGTTTATACACACACACACACACACACACTGTAGGTCGTGCCTGTTTTGGTGGAGTAGGACATTAGGTTGAGTTTGTTTGGTGGCAGAGAAATATAGGGAGAGAAAATCCCTGTAGATCTCTTTCGCTTTACTAAGGACGTTCTTCTTGGAATCTCCCTGTATGTGATAAACACAGTCAAGGTTTGGTTGGGCTCCTCTCTGCCTACAGTATGTACTTTATATAGCAAGTTTGATTGGTTGTCCCATGATGAAAATGAAATAAATGTGGAGAGAATGTTATGTGGTGAGAATGAAGTGAAGATGATCATGATGTGTGTGGGTGTCGGTGTGTGTGTGTGTGTGTGTGTGTGTGTGTGTGAATAGTTTAGGATGTAATTGTAAGTGTACGTGTGTGTGTGATTGAGTATGCGCTTGCATGCATGTGTCTCAGTATGTGTGTGTATGTGTTCACTAGTGTGTGTACGTACGATCTGGCTGCTTGCAAAGCCCTGTTTGAGGAAGATGCAGGCGGGGCCCACGATGCTGTGTAACACGGTGCAGTTCTGGACCAGTGCAGACAGGGGCGCCTTAAACTCCTTGTCCTCACCCGATTCCTCCTCGCCCTCCGACCGGGGCCCCTCCTGGCCCCATGCCCCCCCCTTGCCCCCCTGGGGCTCGACGGCCCCCTTAGAACCAGAATCATCCAGAACTAGTGAACCCAACAGTCGTTGGTTTCACACTCTGTTTCCCACTCTGTCTGCTGAGGTCTGACAGCCAGCTGTCCACAGCACTAGTCCTCAGGGAGATCAGATGTTACATCAGCAAACAGGACAGGACAGGATTGGCAATCTCTGTCCGATTTTTAGAAGTTTAACTCTATCTACATGACAAGCCCTATCAGCCAGTGGACCAGCAGCCTAATAAGTCTAGCTCTCTGTCTGTTTAAGTGCTGGTCTGTGTATTGGTTACAAGAAGCCATGCTTTCCCTCCATCTCTCACTCTTTCTCTCTCTCTCTCCATCTATCTCTTTCTCTGCTCTGTTTTCCGAGGCTCAGTCTTGGCTCAGTGTTGGATTGGGGTGTTCATTCTGCTAAGTGTTCAGACACTCTGCTCAAATCAGAGACTCAACACAATGTTACATAACACACTTACAGATTACATCGAGTCAATATGAGAATACCAGAGTTGTGTTTAGTTACAGTTTTTCTCAACCTGTGTACAAGCATTTTTTGGAACTGTGGTTAAGCTTACCTATAGCAAACCAACAATGATCAAATGCTTAAATACATTTGCAGAATGTCTGATAAGTTTCTTGCCTTCGTGCCTGGATTGCATATCTTAGACCCAGTTTTGCAAAACTGTAAATACAATTGTCATCAATGAATACAAAATTCAATGCAAAGTGTTTTGTTCACAGAATATTAACATGTTGTTTTCATCAGAAGAGAAAAGGTTGCAAATGTGTTCACTGTTTCTGGCAATCAGTAAATACTACTGCACAATATTGTAAATGGAAGGTACAATATAGGGAAAGATCTAAGCAACAGGGACAGTCTAATTTTTTACAACATTGCAGACATGCAGAGAATGAAGTGGAGTTACTTCTAAGTAACTTTGAGTTACTTAGAAGAACACATTTTTCCCACATCATTTCAACCCTAAAAATCTATGTGATGATGTTGAATCAACGTGAAAAATCAATTTGCCAATAGTCATCAACGTAAGGGCATTTTGTCTTTTTTTCACCCAACTTTTAACCTAAATCCAATGACGTGGGTAATTTTTTGTTGTTGATTTCACTTTGAATTCACGTTAGTTGACAACTCAACCAAATGTGAATCAAAACTAGACGTTGAACTGGGGTCTATGCCGAATGGGTTTTGACCTTCCATTATAGAGCTTTGTTTTGGTGTGGATTGAGGCCTATATATTCATATCAGTTGTGTTCCTCCATTGTATTCACCTTTCCTTGTTTCTACTGAGGATTGTGTTTCTGCTAGCCGATGGAAAGTCTAAGCCTATGTTTAGTATTGAATACATGGTATTGGATTGTGATGACACTGATGAATGATTCCTGCACAGTGTGCTTATTTTCTATTTTCTTTTTGATCAGGAATAATATTGAATTTGATGTGTTTGAAATTGTTTGGTGAAATATGCATAAAGGGAAAGTCATTATCCATAATTATGCACCCTTTGATAGTTGTATTTCCAATTTTGATCATCATGATTTAGTGACAGCAAAGCAAATCTTTTGATCACTGGAATACAAAAAAAAACAGACTAACTTTCTGTTTTGTCAGCTTAGACTCAAGATAAATAAATGTTTGTGTTAATATTTTTGCAGACAGTTGTGTTCTTTTGAGTAATGCATTAGCAATTGTGACAATATCATATAGAATTGATGAATATATTTAAGTTTTGAGAAGGCAACTACATTTTGAAAATGCATTTACTGTTTTTCAGAAGGCCACAGAGTTCTGTGTCTTGAGAACACTGTTTTGAAAATCGACAGCATTGATCTATTCAAAAAAATGCTTGTATGCGATTGAGAAAAACTGTAGTATCAAAATCCCAATGTCTAGTACATGATTGATCTGGTTTTGGGGCCTGCCCTTTAGGAAACACAACTATAAAGATCTCTGGGGATTAATACTGCTCATTATGCTTGGAGATAATCAAGTAAAGGTCTCCATTGTACAGAGATGCAGAGACATTATGCATATAAGTGAAAAGGAAACGTCATAGATTGTCTCTACTGGAGTTGTTCAGAAGAATTACGTTATATTGTTTCAGATCAATGTTGTGACAATCATGCAGATCAATGTTGTTTATAAATACACAGGACCTATTCTAAATTGAGTACTTGCAGAACAAATACATTTTGTCAATATTGTCATGATACTGCACACATAAACACACATAGACAAGGAAGTAGCAAGCATAAGTTTCCCTCGTCCCCATATCTTTTAAAAAACAAAAGCAAATTGAACTACTCTTACCTTCTTCATTTTGTTTTTCATGGATGGCTTGGTACAATTTCCCATCCCCTATCCTCAGTGTGAAGTAACACTCTTGACCCTCCCTCTCTCTTCCCTCCCGCTCTCTTCTATCGTTCTTGTTCCTATTTTTTCTGCCTTTGTCTCTCTTCCCCCTTTCTTTGGAGTTCTAAAGGTCCCACCCGAGGTTAGAGTTCTGAGGTGGGGTCCAGGAGATCCTATCACCCGGTCACATCGTGGTCTGAAGAGTGATGTTCATATCAGAGTTGAAACACATACAGTAGTACCTCTAATCCACACTCAGAAGATCCTAAATCCCCTAAAACAAGCAGGAACCTAGCCCACTTCTATGTCTGAACAGAAAAGAGCTGCATGACATTCTGTCCATGCGTGCATTACTCTGTCTCTCTCCCTCTCGCTCCTACTCACTCGTCAACTCTCAATTTTACCCCTTCTTTAATCCCCTATCTCTCTACCCCTCTCCCTCCCTCCCCCTCTCTGTCCCTGGAGCAAGGCTTGTTACGCCATTCAAATGACTGCATTTATGTAGGGTGGTGAGAGGCAGACAGATAGAGAGAGAGAGGGGGAGAGATAGATAGAGAGAATTAGAGGGGACAAACGCAAGGGATTTAAAAATCCCTATCCCTGCATTTCAGATTAAAGGGAGAGATGGAGGGGTAAGAAGAGAAACGGATAGAGTAAGGAGAATGAGAGAAACAACAAAAGAGGGAGAAATTGAGGACAGGTTGGAGAGAGAGGTGATGCAAGATGAAAAGAGATGGTGAGAAGGTAAAGAGGAGGAGTGATGGAGAAACAAGGATGGGAAATTCAGAGAGACAGGGAGAAAGAAAATGGAGCTGGTCAAGGGATAAACATCTACGGGAAAGCAGTAAGCAAAACAGCGAAAGAAAGAAAAAATGAGCAAGGAAGAAAAGAGCCAAGAGTGAGACTGATGCTCAAACAGCCTGGAAGCTGCGGTCTTGGGCTACCATTAGATGAGTGTGTGTGCGTGTGTAAGAATCACACACACACACCTTTAACTGTATGCGTGTGTTAATCGTATCCAAACCAAATACGCGCATCACAGTCGACTGCTCTGATTGGTCTGTTTTTAAAATCAATAAAAACATCTTCACGCTTTCATTGGATGTCAAATGTAGTATTCTCTCTGATTGGTGAATCATAAAAGCATTACAGAGGGTCTAATCTGAGCTGTAATGCTGTCTAATCCAGAGACACAGGACATAATATCAGACACTCCAGGACAACATTTAAACTGTGTTTCTGTGCCACAACACTGACTCACATGACTAAATAAATACTATGACTAGTGATGGGAATTACATGCTGTATAAGGACAGGCTGAGAGAGAAAGGAAGAGAGAGAGAGAGAGAGAGAGAGAGAGAGAGAGAGAGAGAGAGAGAGAGAGAGAGAGAGAGAGAGAGAGAGAGAGAGACCAATAGGATTTATTTATTGTCAACAGGGGCAGATGTTAACATACGGTAGCCTGACTTTGTAGAGCTTATTACTAACGCATACCATTCTAAGCCATTGTTCTTATGATAAACCTTGGGGGTATAAGGCTAAGGCAAGGGTTAAGGTCCATAGACTCTGGTCTAAGGTCAGATTTGTGTTTCACCCCCATATGGTTAAGGTTAGGATTGGGAGAAGGTAAACTGATGCCAGATCTATGCCCATTGGTACCTAGCGGGCCCCAACTACTATCCAGAGAGTTCCATACCCTCAGAGGTTAGGAGAGGGGTGAACTCTGTGATAGGCCTGGTCCTCCAGCTGGGACTTGTTATGATGCACAGCTGTGAACTAAGTACTTTGGCAACTTCCAGGCTATTGGGTAATCAAACACATCAGTGAGTACATTTGTGTGTGTGTCTGTTGTATAAATAACATTTGTAGTAGGATATACATTATGTGACATTCCATGACCACTCAAAGATGAGGCTTATCTGATTAAATTATTATTCAATACTGTAGTTTGGTCGTCCGTCCGTCCGTCCGTCCGTCCGTCTGTCACCCTCTCTCACCCTCTCTCTCTCTCTCTCACCCATTCAAACCCGGAAGTATGGTGATAGTAGTAGATAGTAGTAGACGTATGAGTGCCAAGAATGACCCCGCCACATTCTATATCAATCCGCTCATCTTCTCACCCTCAACTCCCCATAACACACAGCAGTGAGCCCCTCACACACACACACACACACACACACACACATTCATAGACACACAATATAATCTGAAACACCAAAAGATGCTAAAACCTCTTATAACATCTATGTTGATTTACTAGAGGTAGAGAGGAAATCTGCAGTAATATATTAGCCAAATTTAGAAGATCCAAAAATATATTCATTGTGTAATTAATTCACATGAAAACAAACAGACACAAACACACCCATACACACAAACACACACCTGTTTTGAGCTTTTCCCGTGCGGCGAGCTCATCCCTGCTGAACCACCTCCTCCGGCGGAAGAATCCTTCGGAATGATCATGAACATCTCGGTGTCGCTTGCTTACACGCTTTCTCTCTTGCTCCCCCTCCCTTTCTCTCTCTCTCTCTCTCTCTCTCTCTCTCTCTCTCTCTCTTTCTCGCTCTCACTCTTTCTCTTCCTCCCTCTCCTCTCTCTAGTTTTCCTAATGGATTTTATTTTACAGATACTTCAAACTGACCTGACTAGTTCTGTATCTATTAAAGTTTTTTTTTTCTGGACTCTTCTAATTTCTGCTTTGACTTGACAATGCTTCCTCTCTCCCAAGTTTAAAATCAGAAAAAATAGCAAACTTTTCCTAAATAAAATTGTTCTCCCTTTGTACTCCCCTTCTCTTTTCTCCCTTTCCCCCGTCTCTATCTATCCCTGTTCAGTGGTTGGTAGTGCATGCCTCTCTCCATCTCTCGTCTTGTTTGTCCAGGTGAGGGGGTTTTATCATCATGTGTGCTGTAGCTCAGAGATTGAGTTCCTGCATCTCTGCCTCTCTCTCTCTTTCTCTCTCTCTCTCTACTCTCTCCCCCTCTCTCTCGCTCTCTCTATCTTCCTATCTCTCCATCACCCCCCCCCCCCCACACACACACACACACACAAATTCTCTCTCTCTCTCTCTCTCTCTCTCTCTCTCTCTCTCTCTCTCTCTCCCATTCAAACCCGGAAGTATGGTGATAGTAGTAAATAAGACGTATGAGTGCCAAGAATGACTGGGTGACAGATGTGTATTACAAGATCAACTGACCACTTTTCCTCTATACTTTTGGAGACAGACTTGGACTTAGATCAAATTAACATTTTGCCTCATGTCATGACTAAATCTTTAACAAGTACTAGGTCAGTTCTAGGTCAGTTCAACGCTGCAGTGTCAATTTAATACCACTAGAGGACAGCTTCTGTCCAAAATATAGTACAAAATATAGTATTCCATAAGTATTTGGCAGAATTTAAAGCGGCAATCAGCAGCTGAAACAACAAAGAAAGTGGCAATCACACACACACACACACACATTAAATACTTTATTTGAATCCACCAAACCACACACACACACACACACACACACACACACACACACACACACACACACACACACACACACACACACACACACACACACACACACACACACACACACACACACACACACACACACACACACAGGGTTAATGAGGACTAGGCCCAGGACAAGTCTGGTAAACAACACTGATGCTGTTGAAAGGATAAACATTGTTGCAACCAATGCCATTAAGACTGATTACCTATCTAATTTATATTTTATTATTGATCATGTCAATGAATCATGTGACTCTGTTGGGTTTCTGGTTCTGTGTGTTCTAAACAGCATCTGATCTCTATCAGGTATCAGTATTAGACATCTCTGTCACACAACCAGTATGGGTGTCAGCTCACAACCACACACACACACACACACACACACTTTGTGTGCTCTGCATGCCGAGAGGACGGAGTGTGTGGTAAGTGTGTGTGTATTGAGACAGACTCAGGTAGACATGCGTCATGTAACCTGACTTACCCCTGACTGGAAGTAAGGCTCTGGTCACTATGGTGATATGCGTGTAGGAGCCGGTAATTCTGAAGACGTATTGTGTTCTGATCAGGTGTCAGATACTGATACTAGTATCCAGTGACTCAACCTGTCAACTACAGGAACTCTGCAGTGACTCAGTGAGTCAGAACCAGAGCCGAATACGGGCACGGAGGAGAGCAGGCCAGGCAAATCTACTGTTCTCCCCCCCAACACTCTGAAGCCATGTGATGTTGTGCTGTTGTGTCGTGTCATGTGGGTGGGGATGAGTACTGTTTGGTGTTCATTAATCCTGGGGCGTAAAATGATATCTGTTACGGATGACACTTTCCTAATGTAGCAGATGCCAACGAAGGAGCTTAAACCCTCACACACGCTACCACATGAACCCTGAACACAAAGATAAACAACACAACTCTGTTAGCATCAAGGCTAACACTAGAGCAGGGTCCAGTCTGACTATTAGCATGAGCGCTAATCAAAATACACACTATAAGCAGTCCAGTCAGTGTGGCTTAGGTCAGAATTAACCATGGGACATAGGATATAGGATAAGCAACTACCGTAGAGTATGGGGACAGAGTCAGCGTTTACATTTGGAGCATGGGGGCTTAGAATTTCAATCAGGACCTTGGTGGATTGCAATCATGCCTTGGATGGATGGACATGGACACACACATACACAGACACACACACACAGACACACAGACACAGACACAGACACACAGGGCTAAAGGAGGCCTATCTGAGGTCAGACCCAGGTCATCCTGGTTCTTACCGGTCCGAATACTGGGTCCATTATAGGCAGCAGGTCTATGGGCTCCTTCTCTTCCTGCTTCTGGCCACCAGTCTTTATCATATCTGCCACCTTGTCCTCCACATTCAGGTCCTCCTCTTCCTCCTCTTCGTCCCCTGTACCCCTCTCTCTGTCTCTGGGGAAGGGGGTTGGGGTCTGGCTGTACCTCCTACCATGAGTGGGCTTGACTCCAGCCGCTGAGACCTCTGAGTCTCCACTCTGCTCACTGGACCACCTCTTCTGCTTATTCTGCTGTTTCTGAACCTTCTTACTGATCGCTGCTTTTACCTGCATGGGGAAAGTACAGGTGAGAGATCCATTATAACAACGTTGATGCTGATAGTCAGGAACTGAGTCAGATCAATACAAGTGTTTCATACAAACTATAAAATGTCGATGTGCCCTTGAGCAAGGCACTTAACCCTAATTGCTCCTGTAAGTCGCTCTGGATAAGAGTGTCTGCTAAATGACGTAAAATTACTTCATAATGAACAATAATTGAGTAACGAACAAATTGGTGTTTGAGGTAAAAGTATTCTCCATCAATTAATCTTTTTTTCTTAATTTTATCCCATAACATCTGACAGATGAACTTTTTTCATATACCGTACCTGCAAGGAGATCTCTACCCCCGCCACATTCTATATCAATCCGCTCATCTTCTCACCCTCAACTCCCCATAACACACAGCAGTGAGCCCCTCACACACACACACACACACACACACACACAGACCGACACACACACACACACACACACACACATTTATAGACACACAATATAATCTGAAACACCAAAAGATGCTAAAACCTCTTATAACATCTATGTTGATTTACTAGAGGTAGAGAGGAAATCTGCAGTAATATATTAGCCAAATTTAGAAGATCCAAAAATATATTCATTGTGTAATTAATTCACATGAAAACAAACAGACACAAACACACCCATACACACAAACACACACCTGTTTTGCGCTTTTCCCGTGCGGCGAGCTCATCCCTGCTGAACCACCTCCTCCGGCGGAAGAATCCTTCGGAATGATCATGAACATCTCGGTGTCGCTTGCTTACACGCTCTATCTCTTGCTCCCCCTCCCTTTCTCTCTCTCTCTCTCTCTCTTTCTCGCGCTCTCTCTCTCTCTCTTTCTCGCTCTCACTCTTTCTCTTCCTCCCTCTCCTCTCTAGTTTTCCTAATGGATTTTATTTTACAGATACTTCAAACTGACCTGACTAGTTCTGTATCTATTAAAGTAATTGTTTTCTGGACTCTTCTAATTTCTGCTTTGACTTGCTTCCTTATCCATCCAATGCTTCCTCTCTCCCAAGTTTAAAATCAGAAAAAATAGCAAACTTTTCCTGAATAAAATTGTTCTCCCTTTGTACTCCCCTTCTCTTTTCTCCCTTTCCCCCGTCTCTATCTATCCCTGTTCAGTGGTTGGTAGTGCATGCCTCTCTCCATCTCTCGTCTTGTTTGTCCAGGTGAGGGGGTTTTATCATCATGTGTGCTGTAGCTCAGAGATTGAGTTCCTGCATCTCTGCCTCTCTCTCTCTTTCTCTCCCTCTCTCTCTCTCTCTCTCTCTCTCTCTACTCTCTCCCCCTCTCTCTCCTGCTCTCTCTCTCTATCTTCCTATCTCTCCATCACCCCCCCCCCCCCCCCCACACACACACACACACACACAAACACTCTCTCTCTCTCTCTCTCTCTCTCTCTCTGTCCGTCCCCCTTTTTTCTGTCTCTCTCTCATGTTGCCTGTCTGTGATCTGTTTTGTGCAGTGATAAGTTGTGTCTGCCCAGGTTGACATGTATTTACCCTACTCACTCCCTCCATCCTCTCTCTGTCCTTTTCCTTCCCTCCGTCCCTCTCTCCTGTGACCCTCTGTCGCTCGCCCTGACAATAATCCTCTGTGTTCATTTTCTCTCCCCCTTTTTCTGTCCCCAATCCTCTGGCCCCCTCATAATCCTCAATCTGTCCCCAATACTCTGGCCCCCTCATATTCCTGGCCATTGTTGGAACACTCAATCTGTCCCCAATCCTCTGGCCCCCTCATATTCCTGGCCTTTGTTGGAACACTCAATCTATCCCCAATCCTCTGGCCCCCTCATATTCCTGGCCTTTGTTGGAACACTAAATCTGTCCCCAATCCTCTGGCCCCCTCATATTCCTGGCCTTTGTTGGAACACTCAATCTGTCCCCAATCCTCTGGCCCCCTCATATTCCTGGCCTTTGTTGGAAAACTCAATCTGTCCCCAATCCTCTGGCCCCCTCATATTCCTGGCCATAGTTGGAACACTCAATCTGTCCCCAATCCTATGGCCCCCTCATATTCCTAGCCTTTGTTGGAACACTCAATCTGTCCCCAATCCTCTGGCCCCCTCATATTCCTGACCTTTGTTGGAACACTCAATCTGTCCCCAATCCTCTGGCCCCCTCATATTCCTGGCCTTTGTTGGAACACTAATTGGATTCTCAGTGAGGTGTTCAGGTCAGCCTTTCATTTGCTAAGGGAGGAGGATGGGAGGAGGAGGGAGGAGGATGGAGGAGGAGAGAGGAGGATGGGAGGAAGAGGGAGGAGGAGGGAGGAGGATGGAGGAGGAGGGGGAGTCTGAGGGAGACTTATATTTATTCTTAGTTTCTCTGCGTTCTTCATCGTGACTTTGCGCATGCTTTTTCTTCTTCTTCTGTCTTTCGTCTCTTCGTTCTTCTTCTTTTTCCCTCTTCTTCTTCTTTCTTCTTCTTTTCTCCTCTTTCTTCTTCTTTCTTCTCTTTTCTGTCTTTCTTTCTTCCTGTTTCTTCTTCTGTTTGTTTTTTCTTCTTCCCGCCCCGTTTTCTTTTGTTTTATTTTTCCTCTTCTTCGCTTTTCTTTTTTTCTCCTTTTTTTCCTTCTTTCTACTCTTGTCCTCGTTCTCGCTTTTCTTACTCCTTCATATGTCTTCTTGTCTTCTACCTACATCCTTGCGCTTCTTCTTATTCTTCACCTCTTGTGCCTAGCTTTCTAGTTTACTTTTCTTCCGCTTCTTTTTCTTTTTCCGCCACTTCGCTTTCTTTGCCTTTCTCTTCTTTTTCTTTTCTCTGTTCTTCTTTTATCTTTCTTCTTTCTGGAGGAGGAGGATAGGAGGAAGAGGGAAGAGGAGGGGGAAAAGGGAGGAGGATGGGAGGAGGAGGAAGGAGGATGGGAGGATGAGGGAGGGGGCATGAGTACAGATTCAAAGCTGTTTTGTTGCATAGGAGTTAAAAACATGACGTGTCATCACCATCAAACACGCATGCATGGATAAATACTATTACATTTTATTCATTTAGCAGACGCTCTTATCCAGAGCGACTTACAGTTAGTGAGTGCATACATTTTCATACTGGCCCCCCGTGGGAATCGAACCCACAACCCTGGCGTTGCAAACGCCATGCTCTACCAACTGAGCTACACAGGACTATCACGTAGGCATGACTAAACACACACACACACAGTTGCGGGTGCAAACACACACACACGTGTGCCGTGCACTGACCCCACACACAGACCATGCACAATCACAGCTTGCCTTAGAGCATAACTTTAAACTCATCCTTACACAGACATGTATGACAGCTCCACCGATATTTAATTCCACTAAAAGCATCTGCTTTCAATAAATAAGTAATAACTACCTCTGCCCTTCCTTCTCATCCCACAACGGTACTTAGCCCTTAGTCTATAGGATCATGAAGGAGCACAAATAGTTCAGGGATAAATGATGAGCATCGCTCTCCATCACTTCGGCCTATTTCCAATCAGTTTCAGTTCAATAAACAAGGACTATCAATATAACCTAGCCACATACTGTTTGTACCACAAGAGGTTGGTGCCACCTTAATTGGGGAGGATGGGCTCATAGTAATGGCTGGAACGGAATGAATGGAATGGTAATCGAACTCATCAAACACATGATTTCTATGTGTTTGATCTCATTCCATTTACTCCATTCCAGCCATTATTATGAGCCGTCCTCCCCTCGGCAGCCTCCTGTGGTTTGTACTACTACCTACATCTATTATTATGTGTACATTGTGCTGAACTCTGTCTGTATCTTATGTTATGTCTTTATGTCTGCCATATCTGTATGCTTGTAATGACACATGAAACATTTCCTAACAGATTATAAAGTATTCTATACTATTCGCCCCACTGTTTTCTTGACCTCTGACCCCTCCTCTTTCCTCCTCTATTCACCCCTCCCTTCTTAGCCAGCTCTTAACCTCTTTCCGGCTGAAAGAGAAGTTGATAGCATTCAACCTGAAGGATAAGCGCATGGTAACAAACGTTTCTCCAGTTCCTAATGAGGTTTCCATTAATCACATTAAGCCTATCTCCCCCTCCCCCTATCTGTCTGGTCATTAGTTATTGATTGGAGAGCACAAACCCAGACCGGAGAAAAGAGTTTCAATTGCGATAAAAACATCCAGAGTTGCACTGGAGGTCAAAAATAGAGTGGTGTATTTTACAAAGGGATAACTCAGGAGGGCCTGAAGGAAAGATAATGAGAATTAGACAGGTGGATAAGGGAGAGGCAGAAGCCGTGTTTACACCTTGGATTAACATTTGGTTGTCATCCTCCGATCAAGATGATCTGATCACTATCTGATCAAGATTTGTTGTGTCTACACATGGTAATAAAATATGTCTCTTATCTGCCCACTGCTTCCATATTGTGACCAGATTCCCTGGACCCTCCCTGTATGCAAATTAATCCAACCTGCCTTGGACCTCCCTTATGACACCAACTGTATAAATTGTCTGAAAACAGCACACTTTTATAGTCAATCATTTTACACTGATCATTACAGCCTATATTTGTTATCCAACGATTTAAAACTGGGTGTAGGCTACTGTCCCCATATCTTCGAACTGTCCACAGCCATACAAATAAATATTATTTCATATATCCTAATGTTTTAAAAACACTAAAACAGCTTTGTAGGCCTAGAATAATTAGCATACAAAAAGTTTGTATTTCTAAAAACGACTACACCTATAGCCAGACGCCTGGTCAAATTATGAAAACAGATAAAAGCAGCAATGGATCAAAAGTGCAAATGAGCACGCATATAAAGCAAATACAATGGCTTTATAAAGGAATAAAGTGTCAATCAAAAAGTAACCTAAAGAGTCCTTCATATTGTAGGAAGGACTGCATGGACAGTGCGCCTTTACGCATCAGTTTGGACATATTCTGCACTTTATTGCTAGCAATTTGTCTGGAAAATTCTAAAAGATTCACAGAATATAATATAATAAAATCGAAAAGGATTGCATTGTATTGCAGGTGTCCGATTCTTATTTAGTATAGGCCATAACAGTACGAAAGGGACAAAAAAGCGACATGTTGGGAGATCGACCGCGGCCGTGGGTGGGTTTCCTCCAAATCATTGATCATTCAGTAACGGGGTCTCTTTCACTCATCGAGAGTTGATCGACTGATATACTACCATTGCAGAATTTAAACTGAACTACAAATGTATTGGGGATGCATGGGACAGACTATGAAGGAGTCGCAGCAGAAGAGCGTTTGGCAAGGTATAATGTGTAGGCTTAATTGCTGTTTCCACCCATACCTTTACATCTAGCCAGAGGGGACTTTTATAAAATGTCCATAGGCAAGCCACTGTATTATAGCACTGTATTATTTGATATAGCAACTGAATTAGACTGTTCACATGACCAAAAAAGTTGATAAAGCGCTCAGCAGCTTTCTCTCAATATTGCCACAGCACTGTCCAGAATGAACGGATGATCACCCAATACCGAATCCAGCTTTGAATAAAATGGGCATTGGGTTCTCCCGTTTCAACTCCTGCTATTACAGGCCTTTCTGTTCTATGTTTAAAAATATTAGATTTTGCGCTGGCATTGGACGTGGGAACAAGGAGCCCTTCGTCTCTCATTCGGCACAATATGTCTTCATAAATATATGTATTTCTATATGCGCGATCTAATTTCGATTGGACTGCGGCAATTGGTTTCTAATGAAAACCACCATGATCTTAATTCTGGAGGGTTGTAGGACCTAGACAGGAGGAGTATCCAGAGACAGAGGCGAGGTGATTTGAGCCTCTCTGGTTGAGGGGACCCAGGTGTAGTGGTGTGAGGCGCTGAATTATGTTTTTGAAACACTGGGAAATGTATCTGAAATTAAACCCAGGGTTGTTTACTATTCCAATCATAAAACAAAGTCATCTCCTTGATCACAGAGATCTACCTGTAAGCCTATGACCAGTTATTTCTCCTTGTACAGAGAGGGAGGGAGGGAGGGAGGGAGGGAGGGGAGGGAGGGGAGGGAGGGAGGGAGGGAGGGAGGGAGGGAGGGAGGGAGGGGGGAGGGAGTGAGTGGATGGATAAACAGTAATGTAAAACGGAAGGCTTGTGTTACTGGATGTAGATTAGCCTTGGAGTAATGATATCTATTTACAGATAAGATAAGCAGAGGAACTAGAATAACCTTCATCATTAATTTGTTTGCTAAAGAAGGGATAGATGATGAACTTACTATGGGTCCGATTCAGACTTGAGATAAGTAGACTTAACATGAACTTAAGTAAAAACAATTGACTTTGGTCCATGTTAAGTCAACTTAAGAATAGTTGTGTGCCCATCTGAGGATACAACAGCCTGTGGTGTTATGTTGCAATAGACTTGTAATACCACATACCACAAGCGTATACATGTCCAGCACCAAATATAGAAGGGTTTAGTATTTAACAGCTCTCTTCTTTTTTCATATTGTATTGTGGTATAGGCTGGTAGCTCCTCGCTTATCAAGTTTAAAGTGTCAGAGTTAGAAGGCTGAAACAATGTCTGGGTGATAATCCTACACACAACACACACTTCCTGCGCATACACACACCTGTTCCCGCTTACACACAGCACACTCTCACACACAGACACACATGAACTTAAGACACATGGTCCTGTGGTGCTCTCAGTACTCAGCACCACCTTGACCCTCTGCTCTAATCTGAACCCCTTTCTG